ATATGACCACTGTCAGAAGTGCATTTTTATCTTGCTTAATGCTTTAATCTTTTCCCAGCGATTTCAAAAGAAAATGTTACTAGTTCTGAAAAGCACTATATGGTTAACAAAAGACAAAATTCACTTCGGAACAGCTGCCATTCTACTTGTATCCATTTGAACTTACAGACACAGAATGAGAACAATGTAATATTAACTGTGATTCCAGCCTTCGTCCAAAAAATTTGAGGATGAGTCTTGTACATTCATTCCACCCTAATTTCTGTTTATATTGCAGCCTTATAACACAAATCTAAATTAAAACAACTCAAAATCAGTATGTCTACCATAACAAATTGAAGGTATCCTTTAAATTTGAAAAACTGAAAACAAATATTTAATATTTTCTATTCAGGTTAATGCTTTGAAGCCTTCATTGGAACATTGTGCTTGTTTTGTTTTCACACTATTTTATTTCTTTCTCTTTATCTACCAGTGCATCAAAAATAGTCATGAAATGTGTTTCAGAACTGATTTGTGGCCAGAAAAATCTCAATTTTCTCTGTTTTTTTTTTACTCTGAAGCAATCATTGCCTGTCTTTAAGTAGCCAAGGGGAAAAACTTAGCTACAACACACTGATACATACAGTCATTGGAATTTTCCTCATCACATTCATGAGCTTCCATTCGTTAATTTGTTCATGTATTTAAATGACAAGGTCACATTTCAAGTTCAAGCATAAATGTATACTGAAGGGCATAGAAAACATAAATGCGAATGGATCCAGTACAATTTCCTTGCAGTTTCAATTAATATTGTTATATTACAATTTCTTAATAACCAGTTTCGTTTGAAACTGGTATCAGAAATACAAGATCCAGATACAGAGAATGAAGCCTGAATGTTATATAGGGACAACAAGAGGTATTTGGAAATAATCCTGTAGACTCTTCAAAACGTTTTGAGAAAGGTAAAAACACCCATGTCCAGCTTTTCCTCTTAAAACTCTACTGCCCTTCTCTGATAAAATAATGCCTTCAGAATGTATGGATTGAAAGAAACTACAAAGACGTAGGTTGCATTATGGAGAACTGGCTTTAAATCCTGGCTTCTTGTTCCTCCCTGTGCCTGGAGTGAGGAAAGAGATCCGGTCTCGTCTGTCGGAACGGCTTGGCTGTGGCTTCTCACCACTGAGAAGGAAGAGCTCTTCATGTCCAGTGAACGAACGCTAACGAACTCTGCGATTGTCACCATCTTGCAGAGCCCAGAAAGCCTCACGAGGTGACAGATTTGAAACCCGACAAGGGAGCCAGGCCGAGACGCCCTGCCCCCTTTTCTTTTGTTGACCCTGCAAATGTCCAGTACCTTTGGATTCGGGGTTCTTCGAAAAATAAAATGTGGTAAAGTTAGTCCCATCTACAAAAATGGAACAAATGCTATTGCTTTCAGCACTCGTTTATTGGATGTCTCTCTGTATATACAGTATATAATTAGACATACTGTATATGTTCCTGACAACTAAATATCAATATTTCTTGATTTATAAAATCTGCGAGGAAAGCATCACTTTGAAGTATGTGAAGACCTCAGCTTCATACTGAAAACTTAACATATTTGCTTTCTTATTACATAGTGAAATAGTCCACATCTTGACATACTTTTTTATCCGGGTCAGTAGTCTGCCACAAAGGTTTTTGCATAAGCCTTGTCACCTCTTGGTCTGGTTTTGTTGGACCTCAGCAGACCAGCCTGGCCAGTGCTGGGGTGAGAGACCTCTAAGGAAAACGAGATTGCTGCTGCAAGCGCAGACGCTGAACCAACAGGTGGCGATCTTGCCCACCGTCAGCCAGAGTTTCCTAACTAATGCCCCACTACAGTGACTGAGGACACCGTCCAGCAGGGGTTGCCGTCCTGCGGATGCGATATTAAAACCGGGGTCCAGACTATTTGACCCCTACAGCGCTGGCTAATTTCACTCCGGGCTTGACCACTCTCCCTCAGCTTCCTGTTTAGCTCGGGGGGGGTGGGTGGTGAAGCAATTTCTCACTCCTCCCCCTGATCCACTGTGCAGTGGGGCTGCTGTGTGTCGCCCAGGTGGGGTCTGTACTTCACCAGGGGATGAAATGGGTCACCTCGTGCACATATGCAGTGAGGTCCTTTGGAATGAAAAGTGGCATGTTAATGAGGTATATTAATGCAATTATTTTGATTATTGTGCCCCATATCTTAGTCGCGTTTATGCATTCAAGGGAAATTTGATTAGAATACACCACTGAAGTGTAAAACTCAGAAGTGCCTATTTTTTATGCAATTTAACTTAGACTTTGGAAGATGGAGGGGGGCTGGTCTGAAATTTCTTTAGGCTACAAATGTTCTGCCCACATTTCATGACATCTGTGCCAGGACCACATGGAATGAAGACGTACAGTAAGTGCCATAGTTAAAGAATGCGCGCAAACATTAAAAAAATCAAAAGCAGGCATCATGTCAAAGAGGTATGTAGAAAAATTCAACGTTCCTTCCCTTTTGCACTGACGTTTGCAGAAACGAGAGATTGAAAGACTCATTTGGTACGCGAATGCCCCAACCCCTGTGTACGTCTACTCCTGCTGAAGGTATGTGCTGTACATTTCAGGAAACTTATCTGGTCAATTTTCTTTTTTCCTGTTTCGTTCCCCAGTGAATGTGAAGTCAAGGGATGGCGTCTGTCCCACCTCCCAGAGTCGGGGTGTCATTCCACATTCACTTCCCTGTCGCGGGACCATTCTAGTTAAGCAGGGTTGCCTTCCCTTGCTCAGCCTTCCCAGTTTCCCAAATGGCCTCTTGAGGTTACACTGAAGAGCTGCTCTTTGAGTGGCTGGCTCCCGCCCTCACCCTCACTCCTGCCACCGTGATTGGCCAGCGTGTGGATGGCAGCTCACACACTGCGCGGGGATCGTGTCTAATCTCGGTCTCCCAGGGTAACGTTGTGCTGTTGCTCTTTATTGGACGCGGTTGTTGTCACAGTATCATGCCATGCAGATGCAAAGACGAAGACCGGCTCTTCTCTTCTCCCGTTGCCATGTGTGACTTTGCATCGTTATTTCTGTCCGTCTGCTTTACTTAACACTAAAATTAATAAATATTGCCATCCCGTACTATCTGTGCTTTTATATTATATATATTTTTTAGTTTTTTTAATTTACTTTTTCGTTTTAGTAAAAACCTTTTGGATTCAGGATCCTATTCCAAATACAGCGGAGTCGCTGTTGGTGTTTGATGTCCGTGACAAAAACACACCTACAGAGATCCGTTTATCTGCATCTGTTCAGTTCAGGTGACAGTTTTCATTGCAGTAACCCCTTGGAAAGCCGTTTCCTGTGAAAAAGACAAATAAAGGCTTTTTGTAGGAGGATACAATCTTCTATTCCTGAAAGAAACAGTGTAGAAACTGTGTCAGCCTCTTTGAAATTATGACAAAGTACCCGAACGTCCATTAAATATATTTTTCTATAATATATATCTAATATATATAGGAAAAGACTCACATAATTCTTGACTAGGGAAGCTTTGACATTAGTTTTAGTCAGTTTTAATACACCAATTGTTAAACAGGCTTCAGCTTCTATATAAAAGGTTGTTTATCATAGGTCTTATTTTTTAACATGTTTTAGCTTTGCCCATTAACTCACTTTTATTCTGTAATTTTGTGGCCTTAGGGTTAAACAGTCCTAAATGAAATGATTAAGGGTATTTATCCAAAATAACCAATAGTATCGAAAGAGAATGATCTCCTCCCAAGACATACTAATAATGTGATGTGTTATCTGTGCCAACAGTTTTAAAGCAGCAGAGAGCTACTTAGTGAGAGAGCTACACTGGAGAAAAACAGATGTTACACATGTTCTGGTGAAACCATGGACTAAGTGCCTATTCAGGAGTGAGCTCAGCTGTTTTAGAAGTCTTTCATGTTTCAATTCCATTTCAGTGAGTGGGTTCCTAAGAAGCTTTGGAAGAGGGTTTTTAGAAAATGTATGACAGGTCACAGCCACAGGCCAACACATTTTTATCTCAGTCCTCTGTCTGCCTTAGTATACTGGGCCAGGCATTCAGTTATTATTATTATTTGCACCATTGGCTCCTCAGCCAAGCATTCATACACCACATGTCTCTCATAGTGAGCAGGGTCGCTACCACCATATTTAAGCCAGGACACCAGTAGTTTCAAAATTGGGAAAAAAAAGTCTCATTACTTACTACTACTACTGCCATAGTCAGGAAGCCAAATTATAGTCATTATCATCATATTGTGTTAATAAAAATTAAAAGTTCTAGTTTCAACTCCTCTTCTGCCACTGTCTGCTCTAACTGTAGTTAGTGGAGTACTGCAGGGATCTGTACTAGGACCACTGCTTTTCCTAATTCCTTTCAATGATCTAGGTTCTGGTATAGTTAGTAAATCTGTCAAGCCTGAGTGATGATACCAAATTAGGAGGATCAGCAAGCACTGTGGAAGCAGCAAATTACATTAAAAAATAGATAAAATTCAAGACTGGTCAAACAACTGGCAGATAACGATTAAAGTAGTTGAACGAAATATTTTTCACAAAGATAGTAAAAATGTTAATTAAAAACCTAAAATGCGTAACTCCAAGCTACAACAGGCTACTTAGCTGCATATGTCAGTCATTTATAACTCCTAGACAATGTGCACAAGCAAATAAAAAGGGAAACACGTACAGTTAACTGTGCAGAACAATGCAAGATTGAATTTGTATAGATTGTACAAGAATTTAGAAGATTGTATGCAATTTTGGTCAACATATTAAAGAAAATATATTGCTGCTTTGGAATAAGTCTTGAACAGAGCAGACCATTAGGGTCCACAAAGACACTGACAGAGACAATCCAGCAATTATTTTCTTAATGAACTGTGAAACTCAACCCAGAGGGCACAAGTGAAAACTATGTGAATTGAGAAACAAGAACAACAGACACTTCTTTACCTAAGGCTTGTGGTAGGATAGAACACGCCACCCAGCTGTTGAAGCTGATATTCCAGCACCTTTCAAAAAACAACTAGATGAAATCCTGTGATCAATTATCTACCTATTACCTCATGGGCTAGATCAGCTGAAGCTCGTTTCCTCTTGATTGTAAACTAGTTTTATTCTTATGTTCTACTTTTTAGTATTTTCTCATACCACTATGTAATTTGATTTTGCACATGCAATGCTAAGCTTGACGTGCTGCACTCTATTTATACTGAGTTTGTCTGGGGTAAAAACTGAAAATTCTGAGTAGTTTTATGTAAACTCAAGTTTGAACTCAGTACTTCCTTCTTTTTTTATCCCGCCTTGTCCAGCTAGCTGCCTGATTCTGAATCTTGATTGGTTGCAACAACTGAATGATTGGCTTATAGGCATGCCAATCATGAGGAAAAATGAATAAGGATAGCCCATGCTGACACAGCTGCAAGCTGTTGGCCAAACTGACCTCCTTGGAATCACAGTGAGAGAGTCACCTTTGTAGACTTTTGATATTTAATATTAATATTTAGAGTTTTAATATATAAAAAATGATCCACAGTGAGAAATAAACTGGGGTCTTCAATTTTGTGTTTGAGACATGTACTACAAAGAATAAAAACAATAGAAGATACACAGTTTCAAAGCTCAAGGATCAAGGGATGTGTCCAGCTTCTAGACAGAACAGAGGCACAGAACATGCACAGAAAGTAAGACTGTTTTCAAAAGTTGATTGTCTGTTTGGTTTGGTTTGATATATGTGTTTCATGCCTGATCTTATATATTACTAAAGCTCATTAAAAAACTGAATGTAAGAAGATAAGGCTAATGAGCACTGAGAAAGCTGTTTTGGAACTATTCAGCTCGTCTTACTGTGCAGTCCTACTGGAAGTATGCAGTTCTGACAGTGTGCAGTTCTGCTGAGGGTAGCAGTTGTTCTGACAGTGTATAGTTCGTCTGTTGATGTGGAGTTCTATTTGTGTGCTTATCCTTGTGCTGTTTGCTGTTTTTTTCATTTTCACATCATCTGGGATTATATCACTGAAACGGGTGCACATGTCTGTTTCATAAGTCACATATCACATCCATATTGAAGACTTTCTGGTGGGATCATTATCTTGTTTTGTTTTTGATTTGCAAAACAATCAAAGTAAATATGCTGGTAAAGTTGAAGGCAAGAATGTATTGTAATATCCACCAAGCCAACTTACTTTCCAAATAATGGGAGATTGATATTTCTGTATCTGTTTGTTGCTTTGATTTTTCTTGGCCTAAAAGCGTTGCTGTTCTTGTTGTTATCTTACCTGTGTCATGATGAGCCTCAGATTTCCACGTTGGGGTCTGTGAATCCCTTCTTTCCTTCATTAACTAGAACGGGCTTTTCTGTCCTGGTGTGCCATACGAGAATCTGCAGAAAGATAGGTAGGTGTGGTACACTTAGTGTGTGAAGACAACAAGGCTTTGGTAAGGACTCAGTATTGCGGATTGGCCCATAGTGCTGGATAAGTATTCAGCCCAGAGCTCTGGGATGTGTGGGAGGGCAGCAAATTATTAACACGTTTATTTAAACCATTGTAGTTCATCCTGCTCATCCTTCTTCCAGCAGTACCAACATCACGTCGTTCTTTTCCCTCCTCCAGCCATGAATTATGCATCGGCACGTTCGGAATCTGCCAAGCAGTCTGTTGTGCTCAGATGTAGAGGGTGTAGAGGAGGTTAAGAGCCTACTTTCAGCAGAAGAGGAAGATTATGGGAATGAGAAGTGTCAGTGCTTGGCCTCAGCTCTTCAGCTTTGGAGGTGACACTACTGTGCGACTCTTGTTGTACATCATTCACCAAGTCAGTCAGCTGACAGTTAACCTGCGGGTAAGCTTTCAAGGAATTAAAAAAAAATGCTTTACAGAAAGGATTTTGCTTGAAGCATATCAGATCTTCTGGAGACAGACCTGTGCTCTGCTCTTACTCTTCAGAAATGTTGTTCGTTAACGTAACTTCTTTGCAGGAGACAACTAGGGAAGAAGCACGCTGCTGTAAAAAAATATTAGTGTACACCTTATAGTGGGTCTGTCCACCTCTAGTGCTGCTCACAGCTGCAAAGATTTACACCATTGATTCCATTAGATGTTTGAAGATCTGTGTTGAGACATATGTCTGTCTACCTGGGATCTGAATAGATGTCAAGTAGCTTTTAGAATTGTGATTCCTTTGTTTTTTTTTTTATCCACCAACTGATGCCTACAGCCCTTTAGGCGGTCTGAACTGACACATTAGCCAGGTCTGCTCATGTCTTCTGTGTAACACAAGAGGTCTGTGCACTAACAGTGTTGTCTTTTTGAAGGTCCTTTACTTCAGCTTTCTTTTCCAATATAGAAATGAAAATAACTATTACACAACATGACACATAGAGGGAAAGATCTGTTGCTACTTTATCAGGATACTCCTCGTATGGACTGACTGTTTTCTGATTAATTTGTGAGCGCAGAATGTAAGCATTTTTATCAGTTTTTTAAGAAGAAAAATACATATGAAAGCTTTAAAGTTTAATTTACTATTTTAAATAGGAGGAAGAATTTCTGAGAAAGAAACTTAAAGTGTATACTTAATTTTTTTCCAAGAAATGCCAAATATCTTCAGAATATTTGCAATAGATTTATAGCATGCCAAGGGTCTACTGTCATAGTGTGAGCTTGTGTAAAATAGTGAGCTGACATTATTTACCTGCCCCTTCAGTCCAACGTGTCCTCAAAAGATTGCCATCAACAAAAAAGAAAGCTACACTTTTGCCCGACTTACTGTGTACCAAATGTAAGCTTTCTGGAGGAAGAATTGGAAATGAATGACAGAACATTCAAAAGAGACAATTGAGCAATTCCCCAAGGAGTGAGAACAAATGAACAAAAGTAGATTAATTTAAAAAAGACGCTATGCAAGACCATGCTCTTATAAAAAACATTCCTCAGACTTTTGCCTAACTTTCTTTTCAAGAACAAAAGTACCTTGAATTTTGGATTTTGGATCTGAACCTAGGATCACGCCTTCCCCCTTCTCTCAACAACAGACTCGTTTCCTTCATTTGCAGGTTTTGACCTTTCACCTCTCTCGACTTCGCACCACCCGAGCGTCAACTCTGCCTCTCTCCTGCTCCCGCCTCCTCTCCACTCCCTGCATTTGTTCTCCCACGCTTTACCAACTGCCGATTTTCCTCTCTTTCTCACAGCCGAAAGAAGGCTCTTTTCAGCATGGAATAAGCCTGTACTTATTGGATTATGGATGTTGACACTTGACACCATCAAATCTGTATTTTTCACTCCACTCTAAATAATCAGGCCAGTGGCAGCGCTGGCTCAGCTGCTTAATTGAGAAGGAAAGGCTAGGGGGCAAACCAGGAGCTATCACTTTGGGATTGTACCATAAGGGGCACCTCTGAAATATTCATGGGTAACACGCACTGTTACAGTGTTGGATAATTGCTCCCGCTGCTCATTCTTGAAAACCCAGTACCAGACGCTAGTGTTTCCACTCACCCATAAAGCTATGGGGGAAAAATTCCCCCTCCCACCCACCCCAGATGTTAACTTTTCCCTCCTCCATCTGTGCTGTGAACTGACCGCTGCCGTGCTCACCTTAGTGCAATTGGCCGCTTTGGGCTCGAGGTCGTTCAGTGTGACGAGCTCTCTGAGGAGGCTGCTCTCCTGGTAACCCCCCTTGACGCCTCGCAGCTTGAAGTAGGCCTGGGGCTTGAAGAGGATAAGCCTGAGGTTGATGGCGAAGCCCGCCATGTCGATGGCGAAGGGCCGGTGGGGGTCGAACACCGTCTTCCACCCGTAGACCTTCCCCGCCGCATTCACCTTCGGGGACTCGTAGCGCAGGCCCCCCACGAACGCCACCGGCCACACCGACACTTTCCGGGTCGACCGCATCTGGACCACGCGGGGAAAAGGGAGAGACAGAAAGACACGAGAAATGTCTTCCCCGGCTCTGGAATGGGTACCGAAAGGTGGCGGTTTATTCTTGGACGTTGAACTCTTATTGTTCACGACTTCATCCCCTACCGCAAGAAAGGCAGTAGAACTCGCTGTTTAGAGTGTCTTGAGCGAAATGCAGAACTGTTTGTTTGTTTTCTTTAACACTGCAGAAACAACGGCAGGGCTTGGGAAATGAGAGACTACAGCTGTACGCCCTTTAAAGGTTACAGGCAGAGAAATGGCCTGTTTTATCAAGAGGCTGTGAATTAATAATGTAATATCCTCTACAGCAGCAGAAATGCCGCTGGAGTTCTAAGGGCAGAGCTAGGGATTCCGGATTGATGTGGGCAGGTAGGCCGACGTGATGGGTCTTTCTCTTATAAGTGGGATTGCCAGCTGCCGACATGGGGAAAAAAAAAATGCAGCTACTCTGAGACTACTCAGGCTCATAGAAGGATGAGCTAGTTTATGAGCAAGCCAAGCAGAAGCAATACTTCCCAGGCGGATTTAATGAAGCTTCGCTGTACGTGGGCACAGGGAAGCATGTGTCTCCCCTGGGTTGGAACTGATGTGTCCTCTGGTGTGATGGGCAGAAAGATGCTTTATGACAGAGGCTGGGCTCTTCCCCTGCGCTGGGCAGTGCTTTCCCGTGCTTCTGATCCTGTGGGTTGGTTCATGTCGGGGGCTGGAGGGTTTGTGGATCTCATTAAAGGTGGGTGATAGTGGCCGAGATTTGCAAATTGATTAATCAAGCAAATTAGCTTAGGGGTAAAGTAAAGCTTATGGAGGGCTTAAACCTATGCCCGTGAAACAGTAAGCTGCCCTGACTGTTTCTGCCCAGCTGTGCTTTAGTGTTACTCAGAAGCTAAAGTCACAGCTCAGTTCTGTTAAACAGGGCTTGTGGTCCTTTCACTTGGCTTGGTTGGAATTAGCTCCCTATTCCCTTGATAACTGGCAGGATTAATAGTGTGCTGTTCATAAAATACTACAACGGAGTGGGAGGTAAGGATTCAAGCTGGGCTGTATCCCTTAGTCATTAACCTTTGTCAACAAGCTACATTTCACTGCTTCAGTCTGGAAAGATGATTGGGTTTCAGCAGATTTCCCACGTCTGTAGGATTGCAGAACCCAGCACCCTGTCTGTGTGTTGCAATCCTTTACAGGCCCTTTAAAGATACACAGGGCATCTTCTGAAAGTTTCCATGCTTTTGGGATTCCTTAACCCATACACACAACGTTTCTGGAACGAGACGCATTCACCCCAGCGTTCCAGCTCACTGTGGTCAAATGTAATTCCCCTTCATTGCTGTAGCCCACGTTTAACCAAATGGGGAAAGTTGATGAATGTGTGCGTTACAAACTCATCACCGGGCTGGAGTCTCATTTCATCTGATAGACCTAATCAGTGGAAGGGCCTCATCACCCAAACGTATTACAGTGCAGTTCTGTACGCTGTGGTGCTGTGAAGTGAATTAAACTAAATTAGATTTTCTTTGCCCAGCCTGAGGGAGCTGTAGATTCAATGTAGGCAATGGGCTAAGATCGGTGTCTTGACTCTGACGGATAATTGAACTAGCCCTGCACCTCCGACTACAATCCGTGCTGGATCCTGATAACAAGGGAAATCTGTGTTCACAAGCAAAAATGCACAGCACACCAAATCAAACACCGTTTTTTCATCTGTATTATTGTTTCATGTTTTTCCTTTTAGAATTCCTCATGACGCACTAGTGGTTGATGCTTTGGTAGTGTGAAGATTTTATTAAGATAAATACTCCCGAACGCTAAGCTCAAGGTCATGAAAAATAGCATAACTGAAATTTTCAGCTGTGTATGATAAAAGTTGTTCTTCATTTAATATTGATCCTCTGTGTTGTGTGGGGAATCCCTGCTCGGTACTCATGGACACAGGGCTTACATCATAAATCAGAACACGGCACTCCTTTTTTATGGTTAATTATGTATAACTGATGGATGGAGGTGAAAGTATAAATTAGATTAAGCCACTGATAGGACACAGTTACTGTAGCATTTGCTTGCAATGCTGGAAAGAAAGTTGTTTTCAAAACCGTGTCGGAGAATATACCCAGTCCTAGGTGTCTGGTGTGTGTCTTGATAGCTGATTTAAATATATTAGTGACATAATTGAAAGAGATTAGGCTGATCTTCAGCCAATGAGTGAAGGTTTTTTATAAAGGTTGTGGCAAACCCAGGCTTATCCCTGAAGCTTTGGGTGTCAGGCAGGACTGAGAGCACATCACTGAATTGAACCCAGGATCTTTGAGGTACAGTAGCAACATGCTGCCCGGACTGATGTTTGATGTTTACTGATAAATTTGACCTTACAGTCACTTAAATCAGAATTTTCCATCTTATTTGTTACAACGGGCCAGATTTAATTAAAATATTTCAGGTGGGCCACACATACCATACATGATCGAAATACAGTACTAGGCACAATCCATATACATGCACTGTATTATTCATTAGTAGTGTTCTGTGTTCAGGCATTAATTTTTATATCCTCCCGTTAAAATGTAAAAAGCACTCATGGATGCCAATTTATCAAAATGTACTCATTACCCTCTGAGAATGGGACAGTTTTTAGCGTTAATAGTAATTATTTAAAATATATTAGGAGTATGCTACATAAATCTCTGTTGCGTTGAAAATAATATAATTTTACAACTCGTGAAAATAAATGAAAATTGTTCACCCACCACAAAAATACTCTGTTCATGAATTTTCATTACGACCAAGCATGTATTTTAATGTATTTTGTATTTCAACTCTTTGAAGTTCCACTAACACTAAAATAGCAGCTTGTGACGATAGTGGAGAAGCAGCTTAGGCCGTATTTCATAATCAGTAATGTTTCAGTGTTTTCTACTGGATCAATACAAGTGGTGCAAGTCAAGGTTAAGAGGTGTTGCTTGACAAAAAAGAACCTCAAATGCAAAGCTCTGTTGGCAAAATATCAGCAATATTTTAAAATAGCAATAAATTCACTTCTACAACTATTGCTATTTCCCTTTGGCAAAAGCTACCTGTTGTGCACATCACATATATTGGCTTTCTACTTACTTCTATGAACAAATAGTTTTCTCTACTTCTCTTGAGCCACATGCATTTTTTTTATCTTCCATACATAGTACTACAACCCTTAATTGTAGTTGTTACTTCTCTTGAGCCACATGCATTTTTTTTATCTTCCATACATAGTACTACAACCCTTAATGCTGCTGTGCATATTAATCTAATATTGTTAAAACGCCCAATGAGACTGATGGTGGCTCCGTTACTGACGTTACTCCGAAACTTGGAGGAGGAATTTAGAGGCAGTGTGTCTGTGGGTCTTTCCCCCTCCATTGTCAGGCAAAGCCCTGTCCCTGCCAAACAGGGTTGCATCATCAAAGAGGAGTGCTGCAACTGCAATAAGGTAGATATTGTACGGAAATGTGAAAATGTGGCTTAATCTGCGACTATGGATGCTCAGCCAAAGAGCAAATTGATTCCGGGCTGAGGGTCTGGTCACACCTGCCACACTGGCTGAACACATGAGCTTGTTGGTCCAGACTTGGCCCCGGGACCGAAATGTGTGACACACCGACATAAATCATCGAAATAATCAGGCTTACTAGTGAGTAATCCATGGGTATGTTTTCTGCATTGCCGATATCAAAGCAAATGAGTCTCTTTGTTCCCCATGTTTCTTGCAGATTTATAACCAGGCTCTTTTGTGAAGATGCCATGGGTTTAATGTCTTTCCCTCCCATCTTTTACCGAGTGGAGAAACACAGTAGTCCACAGGGGGCAATATTAAAGCTGCAGTGCAAGAACAAAAGAAAAAAAAAATCAAATGAACACCGTCACGGTCATTTAAAAAAAAAAAACCGAGGGCCAAGAATAATGGTGAAAACATAGCAATGGAAACTGGGATCTGGGGGAAAAGAGTAGCAGCTGAATATAAATCAATAACCTCTGGAAACAAGCTTCACAGTTCACAGTGGCAACATAAGCATTTTTTAAAAATACAGCTTGAATAATTAATGAATTCGGCTCTGCGGTGCACAGTGCTTTACAGAAAATGCTACATATTTTATGGACCATTTTAATTTGCTTCTCCTGGAGAGGCCCGTTATGTATTTCTCTGTCACCGTTTGCCACCTCCAAGATTAATGGAAACAACATGGCTCTTATTAAAAACTAATGGGCCTGACATCTTTCGGGATATCGTGCGTTTGCAGGACTTTTATCTCCACTCGGGGACAAAGGGAAGCAACGTGCTCCGGATTCTTTCTAGGGCATGCCGATCTGGACGTGCCCTGGCCATCGGACCGCCAGCTTTATCTCAAGACTGCGCTCGTTACGGGACTTTAATAAAACATGACAAGGTTTCGGGCAGCCAGCCAGTAGTCTGCAGTGCTATTTTTTCCCCCCCTCTCCTTGTTATAACATCATTTTAACATCTGAAGCGGCCATGTCACTCTGCGTCTCCCAGCTGTCAGCCCCACTGCAGCTCAGCAGGAGTGAGCCTGGTCAGTACCTGGATGGGAGACCTCCTGGGAAAGCTAAGGTTGCTGCTGGAAGAGGTGTTAGTGGGGCCAGCAGGGGGCGCTCACCCTGCAGTCCATGTGGGTCCTAATGCCCCAGTATAGTGAGGGGGACACTACACTGTAAACAGGCGCTGTCCTTCGGATGAGACTTAAAACCGAGGTCCCGGCTCTCCGTGGTCATTAAAAATGCCAGGCTATTTCTAGAAAAGAGTAGGGGTGCTACCCCAGTGTCCTGGCCGTCGCATCATCCAGGTGGGGCTGCACACTGGTGGTGGTAGAGGGGAGCTTTACGTAGATTATCCAGAAAAGCGCTATATAAGTGTAAGCACTTATTAATAATATTATTATTATTGTTGTTGTTATTATTGTTTTCCTGCTTCTGTAACTGACAAGGAAGTATCACCTGAAGGAAAGCTCATCTGCAGCTGCAGTACTCACTGGTTGACACTAGGTGGCACAAGAATTGTACTGTGACCTGAGGATTACAGCTCTGCGCTTACAGCATGTTAAAACAGCACACTAGGCTCACTGCTAGAGGAATGTCCTGTCATAAAACTGCCGACATTTGCTTAGTTCAGGGAGCTCACTGACACCGCAACACGTTCATCCAGATGGCTAATTGCACATAAACTAAAATGAAAGTAAAAAAAAAATGCCACCTAATTTTCCCTTTTATTTGGTTTGCTTCTTGATTTGCTCCAGAGCCCTATCGCTCAACCTCAGCCTGTTAATATTCCTGCTCAGCTTCTGCTTTGCCACTGTAATACAATAAAACAAAGTCCCCTGGGACTAGTGTGACAAAGTGAGGTGGACAAAATATTTGTAAATCTTCACGCAAGCAGCCAGTACAATAACCTCTTGGATTAACGGAGTTCTCTTTAATGGATTCGGATTTAACAGACAAAATCTACTAAAGGGGAATTTTGCCTAGAAAATCAGAAATATCGGACTTACCCCCACTCTACCAAAGAAACGCACAAATAATAAAACAAAGGTTTGAAATTCGGGAATAATGCCCTATAGTAGTAGGTCCATTGCTTATGATGGATTTGTGGTTCGTATGCTTTAGTGAATTTTACAGTTCTGAAACACACCCCTGCGACCCTGTGTTGGATCAAGGGGTTAAAAATGGATGGATGGATATTTAAAAAGCATTAAATAAAGAGCTCATATTTATGATAAATGGGACAGGAACACTTTTCATTGACTGTGGGTTACAATTGACAATACAAGAAAAATGTGTGTGTATATATGTGTATGTTTCTCATATAACAGTGTGTTTTTGTTCTCAAAAGAATATAATTCATGATTTAATGGACAGTTTGCATTAACAAACAGGCTTTCCTCGTTATTATTCCATTAAACAAAAGCTTTATTGTACGTTGTATAAGATATCTCTGCCTTCTCTAGCAGCTGTACAGTACTGACTCATATGAGCTGATAGGAGTGATGTTAGGTTGGGCAAAGAGCATGAGATCTTTACTAATTATTTCTAAAGAAATGCAATGACAGGCCTATAAATATGGAGCACCTAATTATTCCTGAGGCTTCTTTTGCCTTATCGTGTGTTATTGCAAATGCTCTGAAACCACTTCACGTGCATTTGGTGATAAGGAAACCCATTCGGGGAAAGTTCATCCCATCTTAAATGTTAATAATAGGTCACATATTCTTGCTCATGCCTTGAAAACCCTCTTTTTTGTGTTTTTCCCCTGGCTGTTGTCTTTAATTGCAACCGTGATTACAGACACAAGGTCAATTAAACCTGACAGCTGAGTCGCAGTGTTTCATGTTGACCTCAGGCAGTTCTCACTCCGTGCTGTTCCTGTGGTCTCAAGGGTTTGAACCATTGCAGAAGGGCAGCCTATATCACAAAGAGTGCTACATCGCCAGTTTTGTCGGTGTCTCATGCTGATTCGCTCTCAAAGCCTGTCGTATTCTTCCAACAAATTGAATGTTGTATTGAACCTTCCAAAGATATGTTAAAAAAAAAACAATCTACATAGTTTTTGTCATGGTTTTCAGAGACTAGATTCTCATCCATTTATACTTTTTTTTTTTAACTTGGCTACATATTAATACCATTTATCCTTAAATGATAGTCCTGGCAATCTCTTAAGCATGCAAAGAGGCATAAATAATGAACTATAAGATGTTTGAGTGCTGATGTATCATTTCTAGGAAAGTTAGTGAGAACATTTTCTCCAACAGGTACGGTTACTTTAAAAAAAAAAAGGTGCCTAGCACTGGAGAGCTGTTATCTCATGAGTTCAGTCAAAATCAGAAGTGGCATTTCACTGAGTGCTTGAAGGGGTTCAAAGGATGCTTCTATGTACAGCAGGGGTGACAGTAGGTGTCCTTTAGCTTTTATGTTGGGTGCCGAAGTTGCAATTGATTGGGCTCCAGTGCTCCATGTCAAGGCTTGTCTAAAACATTTTGGGATATTGTGTTTTGGGGGCATTTACTGTGACTATAACCAACATGTTTACAATTAAGAATCAGAAAGACTCACTGCCATTGTCTACAATGAGCCCCCTGACTTTTGTAATACGTTTTAAAGCTGAAAGTGGGCCTAGACTTGCTTTTCTTGACGTTTTGCCCGTGTAATTACAATATGACCCTATTCAACCCATCATGTCGTTGGTTTTCACACGACCTTTCGTTTCCCCGAATTGGTTTCTGGAGATTCAAAGGGTGTTAGGATGCAGGGAATGATCGGAGTGCCGAGTGATGTCTGAGGGAGGGTGATGGTGGCTCCCTCACCTCCTCGAACAGCTCCAGACTGTAGGTGTTGTCATCGTCGGCGAAGTAGACGATGCCGGGCTGGGTGCTGTTGACGTTGAAGGTCTCCCGAAGCCAGCGCAAGGCCAGGTTCCTCTGCATGGTGCCTCGCGGGATGCGGGGGTCCCTCATGTCTCCCCGCAGCTTGTAGTTTCGGGGCGTCTCCACGTTGAGGTGGGTGTAGTTCAGCCCGGTCTCGTGGAGCAGGCGGGTGACCAGGGGCGTCCTCCGCTGGGAGTCCTCCACCAGGATCCAGTGGAGATTGGGCACGTGGAGGAAGGTGTTGGCCAGTCTCGTCAGCTCGGCCTTCTGGACCGGCCGGCTGTAGGTGGGTGTGATGACGTGGATGGTGGGCAGCACGTCGGACCAGGGCGGGGGGCGGGTGTAGACGTACTCCGTCCGCACCACCTCCACTATGTCCTTGTCCGAGGAGCAGTACTCCTTGGAATCGGAGCCCTGTCCCAGGTCCCGGCGCCCATCGCTGCCGTCATCTGTGGGGAAAGCAGCACAACTGAGGCATTAGCGCTCCCGTGCGCGGGCCTTGTATTTCACAGTGCCTGACCCAACCGAAAATCGTGTACCTGCTAGGCGATGCCGTCGTACTGCCAGCCTCTCTGGTATGATAAACAGTTCTTTTACCAGATGGTGACAGGCTGCGAAGAGTAAAAGTAAAAGCAGGCACTATGAACGGATGATGGGCCACAAAATGGCATCAGTATTCAGGACACTGTAAAGGCTTTTCTGAACTCCTTATATGGATTTGAATGGGACCATGTCTGGTAAAGGACTGAACTACTAAAACTCCCATGAGGCAGTGCAAGCCAACAATGACAGATTTTTCCCAGATACGAGCGTCGTAGAAAAAAAAAAAAGATGCTCTGTGAATTTCAAGAAAAGGGAAAGATCTCTGGAGCTCATCAGCAGAGTTTTGAGCAACGGACTGTAGTCCATTAAATCCAATTAATAAAAATGGAGATTTCAAAAATTCTGAAGAAACTTGTTCAGCCTCACCTTTTTCATTATAAAAGCACGTCTTTCCTTATATAAACTAAATGCCCAAAAACAATGCATAGAGCATGCCAAGAAGTCCTTTCTTGTCAGAACGCTGAAACACTTGGTAAACCGATGTAATTAAATTTAGCACTGATTTAACGACTGCTGTAATTTTATTCCCTGTCCCCACACAGCAGCGAGACAGAAAAATAGAGCATCAAATTGGAATGATTATTGAATCGTTAAACTCATTCTTTCCAACTCCATTTTGCGCTAATGGTGGTGTTTAGCACTGCAAATTTTTTTTAGATCTCTCCTTCCAGTTACTAAAAGGATATTTTCTTACACATACATCAACGCAGTCTCTTGACAGCCAGATGTTCTGTGTTTCATGCCAGGAAGCACCTTGGCATTCCATCTACTGTACCTTTGCCTCTGTAATACCGGGGATAATTTGAGCGAGCATTTGCCATAATGTGTCTTCATATTGCATCAAAGCAGGGCAGTCAGTTGGGTTGTTAAAAGGCTGCATTTCTGTCGTTTTCTCTTACACCTACAAAGTGGGTTATTCTTTCCACTGTGGGTTTTAGTCTCCAGAATTATTCACTTCTACAGGGAAGGAACTGTCACTTTGGTCCGGCTTGCAGGCCCACGCAAGCTCCTTTATTTCTTTGTTCAGACTCGGAATTATAAACAGCTCACGAACGCCTCCATCAATATGCTTCAAGAAAGAGCAGGAGGATTTTCACATTAACAGCGCTGGGGCTTTTTCATTGTCTTTTTCTCCTAATAAATGGTTAAATGAATCGGAAATAATTGTATCCTTTTGATTAAGAAGGAAAGGCTGCATGTGTGACATGCGTCCCTCTCTCGTTTCTAACTGCTTAATAGACCAAACGCACCTCTTGCAAAAACGGATAATCGTACATTCAAAACCACTATGTGTAGCACACCACAAACTGACAGGCTGAAAATGAGAGCCAAATTTGTTCCCTTTGCTGCGAAAGCTCCAGTAAAATATTAATGGTGTTAAAAAAAAACCTACGTTGACGGGAAGGAAGATAAACGTTTTTATTCCCGTTTTTATTTCATTTTGCCAGTTCTGTTTTTTTTATTTTTGAAGCAGGCACAGCAGACGTCGCCCTAGCACAAGCAACTTTGAAAGAGGGCGTCTCTCTCTGCTTTTTGTCTGCGTGATCTGCCCCCCACCTCCCTCTGGACTCACCCTTTCGGATGGCCAGCAGAGGAGCAATTGCATTCTGGTGCCAGACTGTGATGAGCAAGGTCCAGGGTAACACTATCAACACAATGGCAAGGATATCTCTTCTCTTCGGCATCTCCAGAGCTGGTCCTATGCCTCTTCATTACCTGCAAAGCAGCAGGGAGAAGACATTTAGCACTTGCATGCAATGACGTACTGTTTAAAGTAGGGCAACCCTGCAAAGACTCCTGTTTATGGGTTCGCAGCATTTCACCTTGTTTCCATTTAAACATTCCCTCCAGTTTTACATCTCGGCTTACCAGCTAGGTGTGGGGTTTCCAGTGCCGTCGGTCTCACTGTTTAGTGTGCACCCTTCTGTGGGGGGTTCAGGCCAGTTCAACGTGTCAATTCCTCAGTAAATACAATAGTTCAGTAGCAGTCAAGCTCGTTTTTATTCATAGAGAAGTAAGTGGAAGAACTGTCAGATGTGGCACATAATTGGCTGCTCTTTGGCCCAGTGCATCATGGTACAGTCATTACACAAACCCTCTGTGGCCTTTACTTGGTGTGTTGTTGCTAATGCTACAATTTGACATCAAATCTGAGTACTTTTAGCATGTCTCATTGGACAGGAGCTTCGCTGCAGAAGTTTGGTCACATATCTGGCAATAGGCGAGCCTCAAACAAGCTGTTTTAAACATCTCCAGCACTGTTGGAGGCTTCTGTACTGGACCTGGACTTACCTACGCTTCTAATTTGTTCATGGCAGAGCTGATGGTGGGCAGCGCAGGGGCTACACAGCAAAGGGCCCGTTCGGGGGTGAGGGAAGCTGAGAGGTCTCAGCTGGCCATGCTCCATGAGCCTGGCCTAGTCTGTCTGTCTGAAGACCTGGAAGAGGAAAGGAGGCCTTGAGTCAACACATTTGCTGCACCCTGGTTCTGTGACTTTGTTCTCATTGGGTACTATTGCGACCCCCTTGTGGATCTGTTTTTTTTAATTAGGCTTAAAAGTTTTTACTCACATGACATGTTTAATTTGCAACTATATCACCCTGCAACTCGCAACTGGCAGCACACCGAAGCTCAGCAGGTGTGAGCCTGGTCAGTACCTGGATGTGACACTTCCTGGGAAAAACTAAGGTTCCTGTTGGAAGTGGTGTTAGAGGGGCCAGTAGGGGGTGCTCACTCTGCAGTCTGTGTGCACACTATACTGCCAAAAAGGTGCCGTCCTTCAGATGAGACGTAAAAGTGAGGTTCATTAGTGTAACATAAGTATAGCACAAGCTTTCTTTAGTCCAAATTACCCCCCAGCAAGTTTCAGAAGAATCAAAAGGTAACATAGGACATTCTGTACCTAAGTTCTTATGTTGGATTGTAGGCCAGCTTCTGATGTGATCGTGGATTTTTCAAAAGGTCATTGGCAAATGTAAGATCAGAAGTAACTAATGCAATGGTGTATTGTGATGCCGCAGCTGTGGTCTTCTGTTATACAGCAGTAGGCATGCTGAATATCTTTTGAATCTGCGATAGCATCAGGCACATGGTGAGGTAATTATGCGGGATTTCAGCTGATTTTCAAGATCAAGAACAAGATGCACGAAACCCCGCAGCAGATTTTCTTTTAAGACCGGTCGCTTAAGAAAGTGTGGGAATTCTTTTATAAAGGAGGGGAGTATGAGGGAAGTATCTTAATTAGCTTAGTCATAGATGTAGTTTAACATTGCATTTGGGATTCCAAGGCAATCTTGTAGGATTTTAATACTTCTGATGGGGCTGAATGGTAGCGCAAGCATTAAAATTACTGCCTTGCAGAGCTGGAGCTTTGGGTTCAGTTCCTTGGGTGCTATCTGTGTGGAGTTTGCATGTTCTGGAATGTGAATAAACAGAATCATGCAAATAATTACATCAGATTGGAAGGAATGTCAAAATCACTTTAAAAGCAACATGTCCATGCTTTCATTTCCACGGAAAGAGCACATATTTGTTAGCTGCTCTTTTTGTGGATTAGGTGCGTAGTTACTTGATTCAACTGATGGGTATGAATCAATATGAGATAAATACAATAGAAGTCTGACAGCCCCTAACAGTTTTTCTGTTATTGTTACTTCTTTGGCTTCTTTTTCCCCAAAGAGAATTGGAAAAAGGATGCAGTTGGACTACAGTGCAGGTGAGAATACAGGGCTCTTCAGATGCAATGAATGCTTGATTAAAAGGATAAACCTTAAAACAGGTCTCGCTTAGATTAAAGGGATTTGTTGTTAATTATCTCTCCAGGCACAACTTTCAGAGGTCCCTTGATTTAATGGGTGTAATTAAAAGTGTGATAATACAGTGTTGAAAATCTTTATGACAATCATTTTTGCAGGGATGAAATTCTTTTGTGCTATGAAGACTCCTGTCGAAGTGGCTCCTGTTATATACAGTATATTGAATGTTTGTCCTGTCGCTAATCTTATTTACAGTAAGAACTGGATCTTGCTTCCTCTTAATCCTTCTGATCAGAGTTCCACTTTCAGTACACAATAATCAATGAGAATGACAATATTTTGCTTTAGTTAGTTACTGTAGATCACGGCAGGCAGGGAAAAAAGCCCTCTCCTTTTTTATAGCAAGTCATTAACAAAACACAAATTATTTCTTCTCTAGGCAACCTTTGTAAAGTCTTAAAGGCTTTTGGATTTTTGAAAGCAGCTGAATGAACTCTCCATCCTTAACATTTGCCTTAGAAACGCTGCTAATGTGGACCAGAATATTTCCTACATCTTGTGGGTCTGGGACAGTGATGGTTTGTAGACAATATGGTTTATGAAAAACCAGCTTACATGCCTCCCATCCTGATTTGTTCCTTGTAATATGGGTTCATGTTCTTTTCCAAGATCTTCCAGTGGGCCAAGCTGACAGACTAGCTCTGTAGTCGATGTTTTATGAGGTGCAGCCCGATATTAATTCAGGTGCCGATTTTTTGAGAAGCGTCTTTGGGTTCCTGATTTGAGTAAGAAGTACTCTATCAATATACCCTGCTGCTGCTGTCGTTGTTATGACTGAGGCAGATCACGGCGATCATTTGGTGTGGCTGTGCTTCCCTTTCGGAATCAGAATGAGCTGAAATGAATGAATTTGGGCTTAATTACCTTCAGCAAGGAAAGCACGTATTCATGAGCACCTGCATGGGTTTCGAGTGGTGGTGATGTAATTGTCAGTAGGTTTTTTTTAAAAAAAAATGATACTGTAACAATGGGAAAAATAGAACTACAAAGGAGTTATGTTTCTCCAGACTTGCTTTGCTGAAAGATCCTTTTAATTAAGCTTTCCCCTCATCTCTCCCAGTGCCTTACAGTTTTCTGACAGTCCCTAATAAACGGCAGAATCGGTGGAGGTGTTGGGAAAGAGAGTTGAAACTCATGCTCCTCTGTTGCTGTGATTACAGCACAGTGATAAATGATTTTCTCCTGCAGATGCTCCCACTGCCCCCTACAAACTCCAAAGAAAGACCTCCTTTGATTTCATGGGATCGAAGAATATTTCTGGTCTTTCATCCCATCTCTGGAGATCTCATTCCCTGGTGTAACTAATCGCTCTGTAATTTCCCCCCATTATGAACTCGGCGAGTCTGTGAGACTTCTATTTAAGACACAGGTCAGTCCAAAGCAAGCAAGCCTGATAGCATTGCACTGACACTCTGCAACTGGTCGAAAATAACTTGGCCTGCAGGTGTCGACAAGCACGATTGAGATATGGATTACCACAAGTTCGTTTTTTACACAGAAAGGTGCAATAAAGTCTTGATAATGTTTTCACTGGTTTTGTTTGAGAGATTTTGACCTTGAAAGTAGCCGCTGCATGCAAATCCCTGAACTAAGGCAGTTACTAAGGCTACTGCACAGAGCTCAAAGGAAAGAAAGGTCCACAGTCTGAAAAGAAGAAAAGGTAATCAAATGAAGAAAGCAGACAGAGCTGGGAGGAATTGTGCACCTTTGTTAAAATGTGTGTTTGTAAAATTAGCTCACCTAGAGTTCAATGTGTAAAATAATGTATCCATGGTACCCATCTGTGTGTTTTTAGCTTATTTTGTTTTTGTTCTGAAGGACAAACAACAGTAGGCTTAGTCAAAGAAAAGCTTTAAAGCCCACATACAGTTTTACAGCTTCTACTGACTATACTAAATGTACTTTTTAATGAGCTTTGTAGTAATGAAGAAAACAGAGTCACAATTGTCAAATTATAAAATGCCCATAAGCAAGCAAAAAGTTATTGTTTGCATTAAATGCAAACTACATTCACAGTTGGATCCTATGCTCCTATGTTTCTGTCTGCAGAGGTGCACGCACTGCAAAATGTGCCTTGGACAATTTCCCCTCCTCTCCCTGCAATGAGTGCAGGAAAGGTTCCAGAGGGTATACTCTCTGAGGAGACAGGAGAATAACAGTTTGGAATAAGCGTGAATTGAGCTGCAAATGTGGTTCGAGTTGGATTAGAAGGCGATGAGAGGGTCATGAGAGAAGGAAATATTCAGGGAATTTTTCTGGACTCAGCTGTTCATTCAGGCCTGGTGGTGCAGATACTCCAGTCTCACACACAAGCAATCTGAGATTCTGACAGCTTGCAGGAGGACTTTGTATGGGGAAAAAAAAGAATAATAAGACTGTCTATTTGAGCATAACCCTCTTTGTATTGCATACTGCAGGTGTGAGCCAGTATTTTTAATCAAATGAAGCAAATGTAAAATTTGTTTTTAGGCAGAAATGTCTTTTTTGAGAAAAAAAACACATTGTGCACATTGGTACAAATGTGTCTGATGCCATTTCTGGGTGGAGGTGAAGTCGATCAGACTACTTGGTCTTGATCCATCATCCTTTTTCAGGTATTGTTGTTCCTTCCTAAAGTATTAATAAAAAGCATTTCTTTATGCTCCTGAAAAAGGCAGTGCTCCACATACTGTACCAGACACATACTCTGATAAATCTGGCGCTGCCTTAAATGTTTCTCACAGGTCATTTAGAAGGTCAAGATGTTTGTGCTCCAAGATTAAAAAAAAAAAAGCTACTGTACTTTCTGTACAACACAAATATGAAAGGTGAACTCAACAGGGCCGATAAACAAACAAAATTCCAATAAGCTGACAAAACAAAAGAAAAGAATGAATAAATTAGTTCAGGTGTTGTAGAGTAGTTGGTATGTCTTAACTACAATAAAAGTGGTTACATTTCCATGTGTGTGATGTTGGCATGCCCTAGAACACATACAGTACCACGAGGACAGTGCTGTGCACAACTTTAATTTCTTAAAGTGTACTGAGATCTTATTTTATAAAAAGTAATAAATATCTGAACTTTTTTATTTTTATTTAGAGATACCGTTACAGTTCCCTGTGCTTGGAACATCTTTGGACATTTGTTTTTTTCTTTCAGAAGCTTTTATTGAACAGATATAAAATACAAATCCCAACACCTATTCATTCCAGCGCTATAGAATAAGTGGACAACATTCTGTCATTAAGATCAATTTTCATCCCTTGTATTACTGCATATTTAATCAATAATCAAGTAATCTTTCTTTTAAGCTAGAGGTTGCATCAACTAAATATAAGAATTCTCTATTGATTTTCTCAAGTTCAGTATGCAGCTGCTGAAATCATCCTCCATTAATAAGCATTCTGGAAATGTCATGAAACTGCTGGAAAAGATGTCCCTTAATGAGGTTCTTCAGTATTGTATCTAAAATTGAATGCTTAGGAAGAACTACACCAAGAAATAAGAAAATAAACCTCTTGATTTTTTTTTTATATATATTGAATTTCATGGTGAAGCTAATTGGCTTGCATGTCTTTCCAGTTTTCACCTGATGGCACTAGAGAGCCTCCTGTGATCGAATTGCCTGCTTGATTGAGTA